CCCCCCGCAGCGCGCACACAAACACACACACGCTCACACACACACACTCACACACACACACACTCACACACACACACACACACACACACACACACACACACACTCACACACACACTCACAGAGAATAAGCAGGATGCACGGTCACCCTGCCCAGGAGGGCTCGGCCTGCCACGCCCAGACACATTGGGACTCCTGGCACCTCTGCCCTGACTCCTGCCCGATGAAGCATTTGCTGTGCAGCCCTGGACACGGTGCCTGGGCTCTCTGACTCTCCATATTCTCCTCCGTGATACGGGATCATAAAAGTCCCTAGAGCTACTGTGAGGGTGACATGAGACGACGGCTTTAAAGTTCCAAAACATAGCAGATGCGCTGTGAAGGGGTGTGCATGGTTATTAGCTCACCGAGGAACACAGCACCCACACGCCCCTTCTCCCTTAGACATACCGACTCGTGTACACAGTCACACACACACGTGCGAGCACACACCCTGCCACCTCCACCCGCATAGGAACCTGCCCGGGCCGTGGGGGATATCCAGTCCTAAGTGGCCACGATTCCGTGAGCCCTGGCCACCAGAGGGCAGCATGCTCCCCACCTGCCCGCTCGCGTCATCATCCCCGCCTCTCCTGGCACTAGTGTGCTGCCACTGCCTAGTATTCATGCATGTCCCTGGGGCCTTCCTGCCCGCCTTGGTCACCTGGCCCCTCCCAGCCGCACCGACCAGCCCAGGAGGAATGGGAGGGAGTCCGCCATCCTTGCACAGGCACCTCTCAGGGAGGGCACCGGGCCTCCCAACGTCACTGAGCCCAGGCCTGCTGCCCAACTGCCCAGACCAGGAGCACACAAGGACCCACATCCAAACCACGAGGGCAACCCCAGGGGCCTGAGGGCCTCGAGCTCACAGCTGAGTTCAAATCCTGCTCTGCCACCTTCTGCCTGGGAAACTGAGTCTGTGAGACGGACCGTTGTCCTGTCCGCCCGGTTCACTCCGTCCTGAATCCTCAGGACCTGCCCACGCGCTACCTTTGCTGGGAGGCGTCCTCTTTCTTATGTTCTTTTGTTCCTACTGCACCTTTTCCTCTGGCATAGTCTATACAGTATTTACTTACTGGTCGTGTTGACTGTCAGTCTCCCCGTTAGATTAAAAACGCCAAGAGGTTTCTGACTCGTGTTTACCGCTCTATCCACCTGCTCAGACAGAGCCAGGCACTCCTGGGGGTCCAACCGGAGTCCACAGGGCAGCTGGGGTCGGTTCAGTTCTGCGGCTCCAGATGAACCCCAAGGCAGCCACAGGCCGAGAACTAGGAGCCCCTTCCCCCACGCAGTGGCGTCAGACTACAGAGGTTTCTACCACCCAAGCCCTCAAACCTTCTGGGACCGAACCCTAAATTAGCTCGGCCCCGCCCCCTGGAGACCCCAACTCCCCGCCCAGGCGCCAGCCCATCTTCTCCCCAGTGGCCTGGACCCAGGAGACTCCGCCCCTGCAGATCTGCCACCTGCTGGGCACTAACAAAACCAACCAGATATACACCCACATGCTTTCATATCGACACATATAGACGTGCAACACACAAACCGGCACGCATCTGAACACATCTGTATGCATGTCTGTGTACACAATGTACAAATAAACACACAAAATATGTGTAACGCACCATTAGCATGACATTCAAACAAGCATATGGTCATTCAGATTAACCTCGCCCTCCTTCAAACCCCGCAATGGCCTGTTCTCAGTCTGTGTGAGACAGAATCCTTACAAACTGTCTACAAGGCCCACACAATCTGCCGCCCCCACCCCCCAACTACCTGCCGCTCTCTCTTCACCCGCAGGGGCCTCCTCACTGCCCCCTAACTTGCCAGGCATGAGCCTACCTCAGGGCCTTTGCACAAGCTGTGTCTTCTGCCTGGCACCATCTTCCCCAGGTCTCCACATGCCTCACTCGCTCATGCCTTTAGGTCTTTGCTCAAGCCTCACCTCTCAGTGAGGACTTCTGGCCTCAGTGTAAAGGTGCGAGTCCCCAGCACTCCCCATCCCGTCCAAGAGGCCCCTGGTCCTGCCCCCTCTGGCCTCACCGTTAGTTCCTCCCAGGAGGCCCACGGCTCTGACTGCTGGGAGGCCCAGCGTACCCCACCTGTCTGCAAGGTCACATTGTCCCCCACCTGCAGGGGGAGTTTAGGGGCAGGTCTGGCCCCATCCCCAAGCCCAGCACAAGGCTGGCCACACAGCCTCTTAGCAAACGCTGATTGAACAAGTGAGAAGCAGCAATGAGGGGAAGGGCCTGGAGGGGAAGCCGTCTAGCTGGTGGCTTGAGTAACTGTGAGTTCATCTAATGGGTGGCACAGCCTGGCACACAGTAGGTAATTCCAAACGTGGTCGCCCTTCCCTTCCCCTCGGGTTCCTTTGGGAATGTAGAGGTGGGAAGGCCCTGCAAAGCCGGCTGGAATAGCCAGGCAGGCCCTGGGGGCAGGACATCCGCTGGCCCAAGGCAAACATCTCTGGAGTCAGACAGTTTGGGTTCAACCCTCAGCTCTGCTACTGATTACCTTGTGCCCTTGGGCAAGTCTTTAACTTCTCTATGCCTCAGTTTCCTCATCTGTAAAATGGGTTGCTGTGAGGATTCAATGCGAAGTGATAAATGCTATACAAGCATTAGCCGCTACTCCTATTGCTGTTATCACAGGCTGGGTGATCCGCATCGTCCTCACATCCCCAGCTGCCACGCAGCCGCCCTCCCGCTCCGAGCTCCTGGCCCCCGGGAGCAGCGAGCAGTAAATTCCTCCTATTTCCTCATAAACCGGGCCTTCCTCCGCTCAGCCATCACCTGGCTGGCAGTGCTGTCAAAAAGATGGATGCCACATCTGCCCTGTTTACAGCTTTACCTCCAAACCCGGCTCTGTAGCTCCCGGGGAGGAGGCGGGAGAGGAGGGGGCAGGCGCTGCCTTCCACAGGCCTTGACAGCTGCAGAGCTGCCCGCTGGGTGACCCCTAGCTCCCTCGGTGCCAGGTGCGGTGGTCGCTGGGCCATCTGCTGCGCTTCCTGCAGATCACCTCCATCTTCTCCGGGACCTGTGAGGCCAGCTCTGCTGGGGCCGGGCTCTGGGAATGAGGACACTGAGGCCTCAGGGGTGAAGGGACCTGCCCACAGCCACTCGGCACATGGCACACGGCACATGGCACATGGCACACGGCACACGGCACATGCCTAGGAGGGCTGCAGCACCAGACTCACACCCAAGTCTGTAGGACTCTCCCACTGTATGCCTGAGGAAGAATGGGTGCCCACCCATACCCCCACCCTTACCACTTCCAGGCACGCCAGCCCATCTCCAGATGTCAGCACCTGCCCCTCTCCTGAGGCTTCCTCTGGTCACAGGCGCCTCATTGCCCAGGCCTGCAGCAGGCGGGTCCTGAGCAATTCCCCCTCCAGGAGAGTTCCCAGTGGTTGATGGGGGTAGCATCTACCCCTCCTCCCCGCCCCCCCACCTCCACCTCGCACGTCCAGGGGTGACTGAGAGGCGTGCTCCTCTGTCCCCAGAGCCAGGGGTGTGGAGCTCCGGCTCTCAGCGGGAACCTGCTTGGTACCCCTGCCTTTATGCTGCCTTCCCTCCCCTTCGTGT